TCGGAGGCAACACAAGCTTCCGTCGTTTTTACCTACGTGACTTTACCGAAAAAAAAACTAAGAATATGAATCCTTGCAGTCACGAAAGCTTCAAATCTAGAACCATTTTAAAACCACCTGCAACGTCTGAGTGTCAATGTGATGACGGCGCCTTGGGGTGTCCGATTTGTGCCAGCAAAGTGCCACGTGTTTACGCACAAGCGTAATGAACTTGACGCGTTGACTGTGCGAGATCCCCACTCTGGCCAACATGCTCAGCACCTTGCTGCCCTTCCCCCGTGCCTCCGATCGGTACCGTTGGCTACGTACGGTGCGAAAGAAGTTCAACATACGGACGTACAACCCCGTCTCGGATATGTTATCCCCACTTCTCCCCCTCCTCCTCACCCGTTGTGTAAGAAACGTTCTACCCACCCTGTCACGTCTCAACGAGAAGGTCCGTGAACAAGGGACACGCACGACTTGGAGACGCAGCAAGTCATCGTTGCAACAATGTATCACGCAACAGGAAATGTTCATAGAGAATAGAAAAGAATGCTTTCGGTGGATTCGTCGATCGCACCGCTTCGAGAGGAAACTACAGTAGGCAAATGCGTTGCGCAATGGGCGTCCTTCGTGGCACGCCGGATTTGGGGAGACCAGAGCAGTTGAGTCAAATCTGACACGAAACTTCGCCTATTTGTTTTCTGTTCAAGGCAACGGCATTGACCAAAGTCTTGAGTTCTTTTGTTATTTGTGCTTGTGTCATCACATGCCATACTCTTAGGTTTTTTCGGTAAAGTCACGTAGGTAAAAAATATAATAAAAATTAATAAAAGTAATTAAGATTTTATTTTATTTCAATTATTACTTTTATTAATTTTAATTTTCTTTTTTTTACCTACGTGACTTTACCGAAAAAACCTAAGAGTATGAATCCTTGCAGTCACGAAAGCTTCAAATCTAGAATCACATGCCATGTCATTCGAGGATTGTTGTATTTTTTTAACCATACTTTAACCACGCTAGGGTTTCGTATAGTCGGCGAGGAGAGAAAAAACCCAGTTTACATTTGACTCGCTACTCGTGTTCGCCATGGCTGGGTGTCGAGCGTGAGTTGCCAGGTTTGTAGCACAATGTGCTAACCACCGCAACGCTGATACGAGTTTATATTCTAAACCAAAGAATATTACACTCTACACCAAAGAAGAGATATTGGTGTACTGTTATGTAGTACATTGTGCATTGCACATACCATATACAAATTTAACTGTATTTGATGAGCATGCTACTGACAAATTAGGCTTTGGAGAAGCACGTTATGAGGGTGTTAGACCAATTATTCTGTAATCAAAGTGTGTACTCAGCCAGAAGTTGTGCTCTCCACACACTCGCCTAAATCAGCTAAATGCCCGAGCATCCACTGACAAGTACATTTGGCAATTGTTTGTAGAAAAACATTTGCTGGACTCCATACTCTTTGGTTCTTTCGGTAAAGTCACGTAGGTATAAAATAAATTTAATTAAATCACGACGTTTCGGGCGCAACACAAGCGTCCGTCATCAGAGGGGACTACCACGGCAAGAAAAAATTCTGAAGTTGCTGGACTGTTTATCATTTCACTCTTTGTGTATTTGGGGATGCGTGTGGAAAGTAGGTAGGGTAGGGTTAGGAGATGTTTTGTTTTATGTGCTCACAAATGGTGTACCTTTTATGCATGTTGGACCTATTTTACAGCGTACTTAGCCAACCGTGCGTCGACACAGAGACACAGTCGGACACAGGGTGACTGTGACAGAGACACAGACAGAGACACAGTCGAACACAGGGTGACTGTGACAGAGACACAGGTGGACAGAGACACAGGTGAGACAGAGACACAGACAGAGACACAGACAGAGACAGAGACACAGGTGAGACAGAGACACAGACAGAGACACAGACGAGACAGAGACACAGACAGATACACAGACAGAGACACAGACACAGACAGAGACACAGACAGAGACACAGACACAGACAGAGACAGAGACACAGACAGAGACACAGGTGAGACACAGACAGAGACACGGGTGAGACAGAGACACAGACAGAGACACAGACAGAGACACAGACAGAGACAGAGACACAGCTGAGACATTGACCAGTGAGCCCCACTATTACAAGTTGAACCCGACTTACCAGCGTGTTACAGCGATCCGGAGTCGGAGAGTACCCACAATCCAAAGTCAGTGTGTAATGCCTTATCGGGCTATCAGTCTCACTCTGCTTCCCCTTCAACCATGGAACAGGGAACAGGAAATCCCAGGAATATGAATCCAGAGGTGAGAATAGGTTACTAACTACACGAACCAAAACCTAGTTTAGTTTTGTTTTAGAAGGTTAACGAAGTAACTGACCACTTGTAAATGTATTGGCAACCACGTACTCTAAACGCACTTTTCTAAACGTGAAGGGAGACAAATGCACGCGACCAAATATGCAGGCGTCAGGCTTGGAGATCGAGCCCACGATCGCTCCTTACCAGGCGAGGTCGTTAACGTCTACAACACCGTGGCACCACCGGTTGCCAGGCGCTGTTAGCTACCGCGTGCCCTAGGTGGATCTCAGGTGTGCGTGCAAGGTGACGTGACTGACCTTCATGAGACCTCCTTTGCCAGTACCAATATGTAAGGATTTAGGGGTTCTTCCACATTATTCTGGCAACAAAACTGAAACCTTTTTACAAGGAATCGTGTCTGCATTAACCACAATACCCCGAGCCCTCATTACTCTGATAGTGCATTGTCTTTGAGCTGTACGCCTTTTGGGGTCATCTGGTCTAGCACCAATTGAGACGAGGCTCAAAAGAAAGCTGTCTCTGGTGTGGACCAATCAGTTTAAAAAAACAATGCCAATATATTATCAGAGTGTGTTTTTTGTTTGCATTTTGACTACAAGTATTGTGGTTAATGCTGAGAAGATTCCTCGTAAAAAAGGTTTAAGTTTTGTTGCCAGAAAAAGGTGGAAAACCCCCCATTCTTATAACTGACCTTGTCAAAGGGAGTCCATTTGTGCCTGCACCCATGTGTCTGTAACCTGGTCTTGCGTCTCGGGCCTGCTCTGATCGTACTGTTCCTTGGCAGATCGCGTTCTCCAGAGCAAGGACTTGGGACCGGATGAGCTTTCGGGGGTGAACGAGATCTGTGGACTGGACGAGATCTAGGAACTGGACGAGATCTGTGGACTGGATGAGATCTGTGGACTGGTGTGGCTGGCGCTGTACCACTGTGTGTGGGGAGCGGTGGTGTAGCGGTTAGCGCGCTGCGTTATGAACCTGGCGACCCGGGTTCGATTCCCGCTCACGGCCAACACCCAGTGACGATTATCTGAACCGGTCCCGGGCCTCCCCTAGGTCGACTCAGCCTGAAATGAGTACCTGGTGCGGTGTGTAAACATCGCCACTAGGGAGACAAAGGCGGTCGGGCGTGGTGCTGGCCACCCACCCCCTCGTCTACCGTTCCGGCCTTCATAGATGCTCGCTAACAGCACTTGCCCCTACAGTCTGTTACAGGCTAAACGGGGGATCTTTGTGTGTGGGTGAAAAGTGGCTTTGTGTGTTTTTGTGTTTTTTTTATTGTTGCCCTGATGCACCTCGCCGTTCAGGATGATGAATTCCCCACGGACACTCGATACATTTCGTTGTTGGTGGTCGTTTCGGTGTTGTTAAATAATAGTTTTTAATAACACCGTATCAGCCGAGCTTAGTCTCCATATTTGAACGTGCTGTACGTATGTTGAACTTCTTTCACACCGCACCGCAAGCCAACCGTGTTGAATCGTCCGGGGTGAGTGCCGGGAAGACCTTTTGGGTGATCGTGGTGGAATACAAGTGGGTAGACTTACACCTCACCCACAGAATGATAATGTGAATGGAGAGTTACTAAAACCTTGCACTCAAACAAGACAAAGATCCCCGTTTAGCCTGCAACAGACTGTAGGCGCAAGTGCTGTTAACGAGCACCTATGAAGGCGAGCACGGCACACGAGGGGGTGGGTGGCCAGCACCACGCCCGACCGCCTTTGTCTCCCCAGTGGCGATGTTTACTACACACCGCACCAGGTACTCATTTGAGGCTGAGTCGACCTAGGGGAGGCCCAGGACCGGTTCAGATAATCGCCACTTGGTGTTGGCTCTGAGCGGGAATCAAACTCGGGTCGCCGGGTTCGTAGCGCAGCGTAGCGCTAACCGCTACACGACCACTCCCCAAACAAGACAAAGACAAAGATAAAGATCCCCCGTATAGCCTGAACAGACTGTAGGGGCAAGTGCTGTTAGCGAGCACCTATGAAGGCCGGAACGGTACACGAGGGGGTGGGTGGCCAGCACCACGCCCGACCGCCTTTGTTTCCCTAGTGGTGATGTTTACACACCGCACCAGGTACTCATTTGAGGCTGAGTTGACCTAGGGGAGGCCCAGGACCGGTTCAGATAATCATCACTGGTGTTAGCCGTGAGCGGGAATCGAACCCGGGTCGCCAGGTTCGTAGCGCAGCGTAGCGCTAACCGCTACACGACCACTCCCCAAACAAGAACACACTGACACACACATACACACGCGTGCTTTATCAAGGTCTGTTGCACAAAACCGACAACCGGTGAACCTTGGACTGACAGCACGGACTTTGTTTCTGGCTGCCAAGTCTAGGCGGGGATTCTTCGCAACTACACATCGAGTTTGGTGGACAAATGACCATCATGCGTCTGTAATGTGGATCAAATGATGTGCAACCTATCACGGTGAAGGCAACACGGTCGTGATGCCTTCACGGCCTCGTTTTTTGGTGCGTGGTGCCAACAGACGGAAGAAAGTGGCATTTCACACCTGCCGTTGGTGGCACGGTGTATCACAGCTGTTTACATTGACGCTAATTTGGCTGCAGATTTCTGATACACGAAGGGAGCGAGGAGAGGGGGGGGCATGGTCGTAAAGGTACAAGCGACGGTAAAAGTCCACACGCCACAGTTCAGATTAGCAAGTTACATTTGACACGTTGCTCACAATGCAAATCTTCGACTGCAAGTAGTCAAGCAAACAGTCTCGCATGTTGACAAGTTTTTTGTGGCTTTTTTCTTTCAAAGCAAAGCCGAGTACTGTATGACTCTGCAATGCGTTTCGAACGTGTACGGTACGTACCAGTAATAGTTTTTTAACGAAATGAACTTTGGGATTATTTTCCAGTATCGTGTTTATAGTGTTGGTGCACTCTTTGTACTTGACGGAAATGTTTGGTAATTTAAGCAACGCGGGATATGTTACAATTCGGCCCGTTCCTGACAACGTTGGAACAAATGTAATGTATTTGACCTTTTACAGCCCATTTTTAATCCACTGCTGGATTAGGGGCCTCCCCACGCGTGGTTGGTTTACTATATTTGAAGCTTTCGTGACTGCAAGGATTCATATTCTTAGGTTTTTTTCGGTAAAGTCACGTAGGTAAAAAATTAAAATTAAAATTAATTTTAATTTAAAATTAAAATTATTGACACGTAGGTAAAAAAAAAAATTTAAAATTAATTTTAATTTAAAATTTAAATTAATTTGAAATTTTTACCTACGTGACTTTACCGGAAAAACCTAAGAATATGGTTTACTATACTTCACCGGATTGGTCAATCGGTGGGGACAGCCCATAAATATGTTCAGATAAGCACTGGTCACTGATGTTAGCACGCAACCGGGAACGGAGCTCAGGTCGCTGGTTTTCATCTCGTCGTGCGCTGATCTCTGTCACCGCTCGAGACTGATGTTGTGACAACAATATTACTCAACGAGTGGGAATGATGGTTTATAACAAAGGTAGTTCTAGATTTGAAGCTTTCGTGACTGCAAGGATTCATACTCTTAGTTCTTTCGGTAAAGTCACGTAGGTAAAAAAATGAAATTAAAATTAATAAAAATAAAACAATGACAATCACGACGTTTCGGAGGCAACACAAGTCTCCGTCATCAGGTGGGACCGTCACAGCCATATTTGCTGTATCATAAATAACCCACTTGATTCAGCTAATCTGGCTGTGACGGTCCCACCTGATGACGGAGACTTGTGTTGCCTCCGAAACGTCGTGATTTTCATTGTTTAATTTTTATTAATTTTAATTTCATTTTTTACCTACGTGACTTTACCGAAAGAACTAAGAGTATGTTATAACAAAGGTGTTTTGTTCGTTACCCAGACTAATTCTAGTGGGCATGAACGTCTTAATGCAACACTCAGCATGAAACGCTGTAAATTATTGACACTGGCCAAAAACGTTCCCTTATTTGCGCAGTAAACTTACACAAACATTCAGCCGCTCAGTTGTTCCAAAAATCAGCGTTGTCGGTAAACAGTGTCATCGGTTTATGTGCTTAGATGTGGCTCCACTGATAACATCCCTTTGCCAATATAAGGTACACACCACGGACTGCACAGTCCTCCGTTTGGATGATTATTGAGCAGACTAATTGACAACAAGTGCCGTAGCATGTTGTGTGTATGTATGTTAAACTTCTTTCGCACCGTACGTAGCCAACCAGAGGCGCCGGGGGAAGGACAGCTGAACATCACAATGGGCTAAGCGCGTGCTCGACTACCTTATAACATGATCACGATGCATTGCATTGTTCTTCAAATAATGCATTATTAGAGGGCTAAGCGCCGGCCTGAGTTGGACGTGGCCATGTGCACCTCTCAGATGACACTCTGATGACGGGTACCGAGGAGCGCACCTCGTCGCCGATGGACGATCTCGAGTGGCCGGGTCTCGTGCAGTGGCCGTGGTCATGGTGGGAGGACTTGGAGGAGATGAGCATCGTCTCGAACGCTGCCTTCGTGCTGTGGGCGCTGGCTTCTCCCCTCCTGCTAGTGTTTGTCCTGCCACTCTTCATCCTGCTCTTTCTCTACCTCTCCACCCTCTTCCTGTACCTATACGGCATCAAAAATATCGTCCGCAGCTCTCGCTCCGCCGGCATTTGGAGCAAGGCTCGTCGGATCCTGGCTTCTCTCTGGGTTAAACACGCGGCCTTCTGGCACGGTAAGGACGATCATGCAACCATTACACTTCGACAACCAGTATCATCTTCTTGGTTCTTTCGGTAAAGTCACGTAGAAGGGAAAAATAACACATAATAAAATAATTCTCACGTTTCGGCCACAACGCAAGCAGCCGTCCTCAGGTGAAGAACAGGTCTGTCGGAAAGACAGCGTCTGAATGAACACCACCAAGCTTGGCAGCGTATATTTAAGCGGGGTTGGAGGGGGAAGAGCGCCTTGACAAAAGAATTTGCATATCAAGAGGAATTTAGCATATTTATAAATATGGCGCTCTGCCCCCTCCAACCCAGCAGCTTAAATATACGCTCCAAGCCTGGTGGTGTTTCATTCAGACGCTGTCTTTCCGACACACCTGTTCTTCACCTGAGGACGGCTGCTTGCGTTGTGGCCGAAACGTCGTGAGAATATTTTATTATGTTTTATTTTTATTATTTTATTATTTCCCTTCTACGTGACTTTACCGAAAGAACCAAGAAGATGAATCCCTGCAGTCACGAAAGCTTTAAATCGAAACCATTATCATCATCATCATCACCCATGAAACATTTCAGTTCAGTTTCAGTTTAATTTATTAGGATTTACCCTGTGAGCCATTCGGCTCTTGATTTGGGCTCAACCGCAACAATCTATAAAATTACAAGAAACATCTCAAATTAATTGTACACAAATCTGAACATCACATACGTAAACAATAAAATCCTACAGAAAAAGCACAACCCGTCCATCTACTTCTGGGTGAATGCCTCCCCAAGTCACCGCCGGCTCACGTCGCTCTGGGGTGTAACGATCTACCGAGCACATTTTTGTTATCCTTTATATTAAGTTCACTTGCTTGCTTGCTTGCGTGCTTGCGTGCTTGCTTGCTTGCTTAGGACCGTGCACATCTTTCGGTCGTTTTTTAACCCACTTCCCGTGATCCAATCGAACTGACATTTTGCACACAGACTCGTTGTGCGTGACAATTAATTTTCGTGAAAAAAAATTCCCAAATTTTACACTGTTTAGGGAAATGTTTTTAAATATTTAATTACCAATTGCTTAATGGTGGCAGACAATCATCTGACCCATAGGTGGCAGCCATCTCAAGCCAGAGGACGAGAGGACTCTAGCCGCCCCGATGCCACGCATATAAAGGATTTATAGTGAAAAATTTTGTTTTTACGGGTTAATTTTTTCATCGCTCATCTACTCGGGAGAAATCGTCTTGGACTCGTTCCGTTCCTTAGCTACAATTCTGTCTTTATTCATGACCATCGGCCATAAACCCTTCCAGTGGCATGTCCTGCCCAAGCCCAATTCGTTTTCTGAACAGTTTTAATTACATCTTGATCCTGTGTATATTATTTCATCCATGTATTCTGCATTCTATCTCTCGATGTCATTCCAAGCATGCATTTATCCACGCGTCTTTGTGCACTTTTTAGTTTTCTATCATCGTTTTTACTTGTCACTGACCATGTTTCTGAATCATATCTCACAGTAGGTAGTGCACACACCGATTAAAAACTTTCTGCCTGAGGCGACATTGCAATGTTACTTTTCATTTTTAAAATCAGCTTTCCAAACTCACTCCACCCTGCTCTTGCCTGCCTATTTATTTCACCACGTTGATTCCGATCCACCTTCACGAGCTGTCCTATAGGTACGCCTACTCTGCTCTACTTTCCAGTCTTGTCACGAGATATCTCCAAATCACACGGAACGCACACGATCCCATCGGATCTTGGTTAACTGTGCATGGTCACGTCGAGTTAGTACTTGAACACATGTGACAACCAGGGCTTGCCCAGGAGTTGTACACGTGGTCACTGGGAGGTGGCCAGGAGATGGCAGCATTGAGTCACCCGTCCCTGTACTTGACATATGTGTAATAAAAGGACTCGAACACTTCTTTCTGTCTTCGTGTCTTTATTCAGGTTCACGTCTTTACCCACACGGCACTCTGTTATAACTCCTGTATTTGTAGCCCCCGGCTATTCACTGCTATTATAGCTTCCTCACCCCTCTGACTCTCTGCTTCATCTACTGTAACCTCCTCCCTGCAGACTTGCTGCTACCCCTATGTGCAGACCCTCTGGCTGTCACTGTATGCAGACCCGCTGCCCACTCTCTCTGTGCAGCCCCGCTGCTGACTGCAGCCTCCTCGCTGCTTCGGGTCGGTCACCGCTGGCCAACGGTGCCGATCCTCGCTCCCCCCGTGTTCGTGGCGATCTCGCCACACCCCGCTTCGCCCTTCGTGGCCTTCCTCTGTTCCTGGTTCCCCGTCACTCCCCCTGCTCTTCCGGTTCCCCTCCTTCTATACTCAACCCCTCTCCCCCCACGTGACCTAACTCCTCCCCCCCTGACGGCACCTCAGAAGGGCCGTTTACAACCGCATTACATCACCCTCCCCCCTAAAGAAAATCCAGCCGACCTCGGCTGAATTGCAACCTGAAAAGCAATGCGGGTGTAAAGGGCCAACACGCAAAAAGACACGAAGCATTGAAGAACATTATAACAATAACACAACACAACACAATCTAACGAAACGTGAGGGATTTCGAGCGAGTACGGGTAGCCGGGCCGTCCCGGACGGTCGGCGGCCCACCCGCCGAGCGGGAACGTGGAAGGGTTTTAGGGGCGACGGGCGCAAGTTCTTCCGTCGCCATTGGAGGCCCGCCACTGTCCCGCTCGCGTCCAGAAACATCCCGTACTCGCGTCCGCGGAGGGATAGGAAGAGCTGCAGGTCCCGTGGGTTCTGCGGCTCCGGTCGGCGTCCCACAAGCGGAAGGTCCTCCTTCCTGCGCTGTCACGGCCGGCTTGTCTGTGCCGGAGGGTCTTTCTTTGGGACGTCCGCGATCGAGGCCTCCTGCTGGGGCGGCCCCGGAACCCGGGCCCAGCAGTCCCTGGCATAGTGGCCCCGACGGCCGCAGCGGAAACAGTCGACGTCGGGTCGGCGCGCAGCAGGCACCCCGTCCCGTCGTGGCCGCGCCGGCGGCGGAGCCCGCGGCCCCGGCTCGCTTCGAGCCGGCCACGGAGTGGAGGCGGCCGACAGCTCCTTTGGGCCGGTCGCATCCGGCACGTACACGGCCTTTGTAGGGTCCCACCCTACGGCCCCCCCATCGACGACAGGACCGCCCGTCCACGCCGTGACTTGTTTCCAGCGGCGGAGATTGAACTGGGCGTCCAAACACTTAGCCGCGGTCCGGGACGTGAGTTTCTCGTGACCGCAAGCCGGCATAGGAATGCCCAGATCCCGGGATAACTCCAACATCTTCCCCAAGATGAGAGGTTCCAGCAGGTCAGGCTCCGTCTCCGGGTAAGCGGCCATCGCGAGTTCCAGCACGGCGCCCCTGTACGCTACAGGCGACTCCTCCGGTGCGCGTTGCCGCTGCACGAAGCGGTGATGGGCGTCATCCGGTGGCTCGTACGCGTCCGCCATTTCGTCGAACACTCCACGCAATGTTTTCTTCTTCGCAGCTTTTATAGAGCGAAAAAAACGAACAGACTCATCGTCAAGGAGAGTCGGAAGCACCTCCAGCGCCTCGGCGTCCGTCCACCTTGCCGTTCGTACCGCCGCCAAAAATCGACAAGCGAACGCACTCCAATCGCCCCCGATGGAGAACTCCTTAACAGTTGTAAGGTGACGACTGCGGCTCCTTGGCCTGCTTCCGTCCGTCACCGACTCTTCCGGCGGCAAGTTCAGCAAGGCGTCGCAACGCGGTGTCGCCAAGATGGCGGACGATCTTCGTGGCGGCCCCAAGATGGCGACTTCCCGCCTTCCGTGGTGCGCCACGCCCAAGATGGCGTCTTCACGCCGCGTGGTCGATGGCGGCGCCATCGAAGACGACCCGGGCTCCTGCCGATCACCACCATCACCTTCCAACGCCGCCCTTGGCGTGACAAGGTCACACAACTCCGTGATGACGGTTTTTAGGGTCGCCAGTTGCTCCGCCATCCGGGTCCATCTTAAATCTTCGTCCTTCAACGCAGATGGGTCGGGCGCAGCGGCAACCTCCTCCACACCCGGGCCCTCACGGATCTCTCCCTCCGCCGAAGTGAAGCCGACCTCAGGAGGAAGATCGTCGTCGTCCGATGATGAAGCCGACGCCGGAGATGGGATATTCTTCTTCCTCAGTTGTTTCGCCATGCCGTTTCACTTCTGACTCCAGTGTAATAAAAGGACTCGAACACTTCTTTCTGTCTTCGTGTCTTTATTCAGGTTCACGTCTTTACCCACACGGCACTCTGTTATAACTCCTGTATTTGTAGCCCCCGGCTATTCACTGCTATTATAGCTTCCTCACCCCTCTGACTCTCTGCTTCATCTACTGTAACCTCCTCCCTGCAGACTTGCTGCTACCCCTATGTGCAGACCCTCTGGCTGTCACTGTATGCAGACCCGCTGCCCACTCTCTCTGTGCAGCCCCGCTGCTGACTGCAGCCTCCTCGCTGCTTCGGGTCGGTCACCGCTGGCCAACGGTGCCGATCCTCGCTCCCCCCGTGTTCGTGGCGATCTCGCCACACCCCGCTTCGCCCTTCGTGGCCTTCCTCTGTTCCTGGTTCCCCGTCACTCCCCCTGCTCTTCCGGTTCCCCTCCTTCTATACTCAACCCCTCTCCCCCCACGTGACCTAACTCCTCCCCCCCTGACGGCACCTCAGAAGGGCCGTTTACAACCGCATTACATATGTAAAGAAGAGCTTCATCGCTCACTGGATTCTTCCAGTCTAAATTTAAAAAATTCTGATTCTGAGGGTCAAAGTTCAAAGTTCATTTATTAGGTATAGCCCTGTGAGCCATTCGGCTCTTGAATCGGGTGCAACCGCAACAAACAAAAAACAAAAACATGAACAAGAAAACATCTTAAAGTGACTATGTGCAAACAGAAAATCCAAGAAAAGACAGAAAAATATTGCAGAAAAATCACCGTACACCAACCCTGTGCAAATATCCCAGTGGGATGCAAGTCAAACAACCACAAGACAACTTAGATTAAGGCCATCAGTCTAACTCTGTACTACAACAAACAAACGTGGCCAAACCAAAAAACTTTTCGAAAATCACCAAAATAAAGCCATAAAAGCAATGAAACAGTGCAGGTCATAGGAACTGTGACCGAATTTTCACAATAAACCACGTAAACAACATGTACTACAAAACTCTGCAGCCATAGCTGGCTGCATGAGTCACTCCGCAACAGTAGGAGCATCAGTCGGAGTATCAACATTTTTCAATGCACCTTTAAGATCAGCACACTAAATCAAAACACAGATCATACTTTGCATACTTTGCAGCGATCATCCGGAGCGAAACATTGTATTTTAGGCCACTAAATTGCAGTGGCAGCTAGGGGTGTACCCCTTCGTGTGTGTGGGTTTCATCCGGGCACTCCGATTCCCTCCCACATGAAGTCGCATGCTCATGAATGGCGTTGGACAATCGTTCGCTATTTTAGCGACGTGCGCGAGAGAAGGAGTATTTGGGACGCAGCGAGGCATTGCAGCGTAAATAATTGTCCAGATTAGCCTGAGGGCTCGTGACAGCGGCCCCACGATGGGATAGTGGAGGAGCTAAAGTGGCGTGCAAGCGATGCTGTCGCCACCAATCACATCGAGTGATGCTCGTGGCTTAAAGATTACTTAATTTAACGTAACATTTTGTAGAGACAGCACGCGACCGCTTGCCTCCAGGCATCCATTCTCATTGGTGTGTTCTCGGGTGTACACTGAAGTCTGATCGACCGATGGAGAAAACCTTCGACGACAATTTAGATTTAAAGCTTTCGTGACTGCAGGGATTCATCTTCTTGGTTCTTTCGGTAAAGTCACGTAAAAGGGAAATAATAAAATAATACAAATTAAACATTATAAAATACAATTCTCACGACGTGGCTGAAACGTCGTGAGAATAGTATTTTATTATTTTTTATTTTTATTATTTGAATATTTTCCTTCTACGTGACAATTTAAAGCTTTCGTGACTGCAGGGATTCATCTTCTTGGTTCTTTCGGTAAAGTCACGTAGAAGGAAAATAATAAAATAAAATAAAACATACTAAAATAATTCTCACGACGTTTCGGCTACAACGCAAGCAGCCATTCTTCACCTGAGGACGGCTGCTTGCGTTGAGGCCGAAACGTCGTTAATTATTTTATTATGTTTTATTTTTATCATTTTATTATTTTTCTTCTACGTGACTTTACCGAGAGAACCAAGAAGACTTCGACGACAATTTTGAAAGTCAGAGGCGGCCCTGCCCTGCGATGTCGTCGGCCTAGTTTTTCACGGCTCGAAATGTGTTCAATGTGCATGTGTAGAGAAGTTCCGACGGACGTACTCGTAGACGGAGGTAAGTTAAGGGCTTCCGCCAGAGTTTATTAAAGCTGTTACAATATTACACAGCAGGGTACACAACTCCCAGGGGCTAGGGGTCCTACTCTGAGTCCGGGTCCCTGCCGGCTAGCTCCGGTCTCTCTCTCTCTTTTTTTTCTTTTTTCTTTTTTTACGATCAGTGGAAACAAGAAGATGCTCGGTGTATTCGGCCCTTTGCTTCGTTCATCATTTCGTATTTTTTTTTAAACTTTGCTTTATGTAAAACCCCCACCTCTCGCTCACTCTCTCGCTCACTCTCTCGGTCACTCTCTCACTCACTCTCTCGCTCACTCTCTCGCTCAGTCTCTCGCTCACTCTCTCCCTCTCACCTCTCTCCTCTCTCCCTCTCACCTCTCCGGTCTCTCTCTCTCGTGTCGGATTGTGGACTCTGCCGACTCCACCGACCGGAGAGAGAGAAGCACCTCTACGGCTACCACCGGCTTCTCCCCAGACTCACTATTCGATCCCTCTCTCTACCCCTGGTTCCCTCTTCACCCTTCCTACTCTACCCGTTCCCACAGTGACCCCGCTTACATCATGGGGTCTCCCTTAAGTACCCTAGGAGACGTGACGTCATCGCACTGAACGGCACACCTGACGTCACGTCCCTATTTTTAAATCCTTTATATTAAGTTCGCTTGCTTGCTTACGACCGTGCAAATCTTTCGGTCGTTTTTAACCCACTTCCCGTGATCCAATAGAGCTGACATTTTGCACACAGACTCGTTGTGCGTGACAATGCATTTTCCTGAAAAAAAAATTCCAAAATTTTACACTGTTTGGGGAAAAAAAAATTTAATTACCAATTGTTTAATGCTGCCAGACAATCATCTAACCCATAGGTGGCAGCCATCTCAAGCCAGAGGACGAGAGGACTCTAGCCGCCCCGATGCCACGCATATAAAGGATTTATAGTGAAAAGCTTTGTTTTTACGGGTTTACTTGTACTCCTCTACATAGGTTACGAAGTGCACGGTCTGGAGAACGTTCCGGACTCCGGGCCGGCACTCATTGTGTACTACCACGGAGCCATCCCCATCGACTACTACTACCTGCTCTCTTCAATCATCCTGAGCAAAGGCAGGCTCTGCTACTCGGTGGCAGATCACTTCCTCTTCAAGCTACCTGGTATATAAGTGGCACGGGTCTCCGAAAGCTCTACAAACTCCTCCATTGATGTTTCATTTGCCAAAGCATACCTACGTGATCATTGTTTTTTTACCCTTCTATCTAGCAACAAAACTGACACCTTTTAACAAGGGGTCTTGTTTGCATAGACCGCAATACCTGCAGTCATAATACAAACAAAAGACATAACTCTGATAATGTGCACTGTCCTTGAAGTTGATTGGTCCACACCCGAGGACAGTGCACATTATCAGAGTTATGTTCTTTTGTTTGCATTATGACTGCAGGTATTGCGGTCTATGCAAACATGACTCCTTGTAAAAAGGTGTCAGTTTTGTTGCCAGATAGAAGGGTAAAAAAAACAATTATCATATTTTAACTGGCAAATGAGGTTCTCATAGCATACCTACGTGACTTTACCGAAAGAACCAACGAGTATGGATTACCTGCATTCACGAAAACGTCAAATCTAGATCGACACATTTATATTTACGCGATCTAACTCCAAAAAAGCACTTTTTCACACGAATTCTAATTTCATTCGACGCGTTTTCAGCGTTGGGTGGTTGCGTTTGACCACCCGCTCTTTCCGCCGCAGGCTTCAGGTTATTGCTGGAGGTGTTCAGGGTGATCCACGGGCCGAGGGAGCAGTGCGTGCGTGTTCTGCGTCGTGGCCACCTCTTGGCCATTTCCCCCGGCGGTTTGAGGGAGGCGCTTTTCAGCGACAACGCTTACAGATTGCTGTGGGGCAACCGCAGTGGATTTGCCCAAGTTGCCATTGATGCCAAGGCGGTAAGGAACAGCGATGGACTTGAACCTTCTTCTTGTTCTTCTGTTTATATGCGAGCGAAGTGAAGGCGTCTGTATCATCATAGTAGTCTCGATTTAAAGCTTTCGTGACTGCAGGGATTCATCTTCTTGGTTCTTTCGGTAAAGTCACGTAGAAGGGAAATAATAAAATAATAAAAATAAAACGTAATAAAATACAATTCTCACGACGTTTCGGCCACAACGCAAGCAGCCGTCCTCAGGTGAAGAACAGGTCTGTCGGAAAGACAGCGTCAGACGCTGTCGCTTCTACGTGACTTTACCGAAAGAACCAAGAAGATCATAGTAGTCGTTAAGGAGAAGTTGCAATCCTGCAATTACTTGCTAACACCACCGTGGGCAGAAGGGCCTCAAGTTTGGTCGAACATGTTATGTACATTGTTTATTCTTCTTGGTTCTTTCGGTAAAGTCACGTAGAAGGGAAATAATAAATAGGAATATTTTTATTATTTCCCTTCTACGTGACTTTACTGAAAGAACCAAGAATATGAATCCCTGCAGTCACGAAAGCTTTAAATCGAAATATATTGTTTATTGTTACATTTTAATCTCAGTTCCTTTGATTGCTGTTGTTACATTGTTTTTATATCTTTATTTTGGTGATTTCGGAAAACATATGGTTAAGCCATGTTTCTTGCGGAAGTGCGGAGTTGGCCTGATAACTTTAATCTAAATTGTCTTATGGTTGTTATTGTTTGACTTGCATCACACTGGGATTTTTGCACACGGCGTTGTAATACGGTGGTTTTTTTCTTGGAAGATTTGCTGGTTTATCCAGGATGTTTCTGTTACGCGTCGTCGCTTTAAGACGTTTCTCTGTTCATATTTTGTTTGTTGCGGTTGCACCCGACTCAAGAGCCGCATGGCTCACAGGGCTATACCTAATACATGAAACTTGAAGTAACGGGACGTCTCAAGGGGCCGTTCTGAAGGATATTTGGCCCACTCGTCCACGCTGGACAGATGCCTTGAAAGAGGTGGAAGTATCCACACATAATACCTTCGGTTTTTTAACAAAACAGCGTCATTCATTCTAATTGCATCCCATAACGCTGTGCATTCATTATATATCAGGACAATATGTATCCCACATACAGCTACTACCAAGCAAATGAAAGCCCTCCGACAAAAAAGAATAAATAAATGTGACACCGAAACTAAATGCACACACAACATCAAGTTATCACAACATAGAAATGAGTCCAATAGGTCACATCCCAGACCACAATCCCAACTTCTACAACCGAACTGCCGATCGACTAATAGTCGTTGTACCCAGTCGCACGATGGGTGGACAGCGGCAGGCTTTAGGAAACTTGCACATTTTTTCAACTGCCGTGCCATGAGATCGACTCAGATTCCGCGTCCTCTGGATTACAAGTCACAGAGAGCTAACCATTGTACAGTGGCATCGTCCTGCACAAGCTAAAACATCTCGATTATATCTTCTTGGTTCTTTTGGTAAAGTCACTTAGAATGGAAATAATAAAATAATACAAATAAAACATTATAAAATAATTCTCACGACGTTTCGGCCACAACGCAAGCAGCCTTCCTCAGGTGGGGACCAGGTCTGTCGAGAAGACAGACCTGGTCCCAACCTGGTCCCCACCTGAGGACGGCTGCTTGCGTTGTGGCCGAAACGTCGTGAGAATGATTTTATTATGTTTTATTTTATTTTTATTTTATTATTTCCATTCTACGTGACTTTACCGAAAGAACCAAGAAGATGAATCCCTGCAGTCACGAAAGCTGTAAATCGAAATCTCGATTATAATGTAGAAATTCTAATAATGTCGGGTCTTTTATCAAATCCGTTGCTTGGTTAGGGAAAGAACTTCCAATGCTGTCCTGGCTACTTCATCATGCTGGTCAATGCGGGTTGGTGAAAGAGGACTCAGGACCAGTTCAGGCGTACCTTTTCACTGGACGTTAGCTGCGGCTGAGAAGCAAAGGTTGCCAGATTCACAATACGTAGAACTAAGTGATGCACCCCTGTGCCCCCTATTCCAATGTATGGCTCTCTAGGTGCGTGTATTTTCATGATTCTTTTACAGCCCATCATTCCTGTGTTCACACAAAACCTCCGAGAAGGATTCAGAACACTTGGAAGCCTGTGTAAGTATCCACTCACTCTCACAAGCAGGCGAATGTAACAATGGATTTAATTTGTATGTGTACGGCACTTGGGTAAATCAGGACAGATGCAAATCCTACTTCATAACAATTTCAAAGCCTTCATTTGGCTGTCTGAGCTCAAGGGGAATCTTTTTTTTTTTTACTATTCAGACTCTGGGCACTTTGACTATACTAAGCCTATTGAATGAGTTCTAACTTTCCGTACACCGGGCGAGGTAGTCAACATCTGGACACGGTGTGCGCCGAAGGCTGGCTGGGGGACTGTCGCGCTGTTTGCCCACAGGTGTGTTCCGCTGGCTGTACGAGCGATGCCGTCTGCCCGTGGTGCCAATCTATGGTGGCTTCCCTGTGAAGTTCCGCACCTACCTCGGAGACCCCATCCCCTATGACCCTGGCACCGGTGCAGCTGAACTTGCTGAGAAGGTGCGGTACAAAAACAAAACAAAAAGCCACGTATAAAGATAAAATAATACATTAAATAATAGCATACTATAAAAGAAATAGCAACAAAAATCTAACCAGAAAACTATAGACAGACACATAAGCAGACAGATATCACAAAGATACACAGAGAGAGAACACGTGTCGGCACAAAGAGAGAGATCGTCTCTGTGACGAGGCCTTAAATAGAGAGATTTTTGTTGCTATTTCTTTTATACCTCATGATGACTGCTTGTGTTGCAATCAAAACGTCGTAGTATGCTATTATTTAATTTATTATTTTATCTTTATACGTGACTTTACCGAAAGAACCAAAGAATAATCCCTGCAGTCACGAAAGCTCCAAATTTAAAAAGCTACGGTTGAGATAACCACCAGGGTGGGTTGGGTGTTCACAGGGTGGGTGGGTGTCACTGTAGCTGCCACCACTGCCAACGGCAGTCTCGGGCTGGTCGTTCAGAACAGCGTCAGTCAATTGGTCTACGCAGCCGGAACAAAGGTCTGAGTTTGATTTCCTCGACTCGTCGAGTCGGCGGTCTAAGCGACAAAGTAGCCGCCACATTTCGTCCGAGGGTAATCCTCGGCCTTGTTCTCCGCGACACTTTACACGAGATCGTTGTGTTGTCATCATATTGCCTGTGACACAAACGCAACGCAAGGTGACCAAACGCAACACTCGGGTAACGTCGGGGTACCGCAGACAACCTGTTTTTTTTTTTATTCAGTCGTTTATTGCCCCAGTAAGCAACATTTGACACAAAAACCATGTCTGGCTACTGAGCACACCGACGCATTGGTGGTTGTTGGTGGTTATTCCCTTATGACGGCCTCACCCCATGGATCGTCCAAGCTAATGAATGTTTGAGGTCGAACCAGGTGGCATTCTTCTGAGTTAAGTTCCCACTGTTTTTTTTTTTCGCAACGTTACCGACACGTGCCAGTGATGGATTGACTCAACAAAAAGTAGCTCCTCTTCGTTTGTGGTCACGTCGAAATAGGAAAAGGTAAAGTCGCGGTCCCGAAATTGATTTCTCACAAGCGAGCCACTAATATGTGGCCTCTGTGTTTTAATTATATAAACACGCTCCACCGACACCTAAGGCTGGAAACCCCAAGGCAGACCTTGATTGGTTCTGTAACCTGGAGCCTCGGACTACAACTGGTGCTGCATATCCTGCATAACAGTGCAATACGTAGGGCATACTCCAGGCAAAAAAATAAAAACACCTGAAAACATTGATAAATACAGCTCGGTGACACGCCCGTCACATCCTTCACTGTAATGTTAATGCTGATGCTTATACAATATTGATGCGGATAGGTAAAGGTCGGACGGATATGTGACGTCGGACTGTATGATGTTAACATATGATAATAACGTTTGGAAAATTCAACCGCATTCTGACGAAATGTACCAAAAAAAACTGACTTATTCTCCGCAGACCAAACAGGCAATGCAGGGCCTGATTGAAGAGCACCAAGATATCCCAGGAAACATCCTTCTCGCTTTGGCGGAGCGACTGAGCGGAACGCCCAAGGTGGACTAAGGAGTGACTTTGCAAGTAAAACAATGAATAAAACGTTTTTAATGATCCTTCCATGTGCCGATTGAATTGACGTCAGCGTTGCAACTGCCCCAAAGACTCAACCTGATCTAGAGGCTTATCGCTGAGCAGCCACGAGTTTCTCTCTGTCTTAGGAAGCGGGACAAAGTGACGTGATGGTTCCTCCATTCGTAAGTCAGCAGGTTAACTCCGTCTTGGCTGAATGGGGCAATTGTGCTTAAGCTCTGGGCTCTGTTGATGTGACGCACGTTAAAAATATTGTTGTGGGATGCCTCCTTTTTTATACACAAAATCATAATGCGTTGTTGTGGAGCATCGGTGGGTTAAAGCATATATTGTACAAGCAAAATCCAATCTGATTTTCCACTTATAAATAAACGTATGTTCCATCCATTGGATTTTGGCTTCCACACTTTTCTATACACAAAATCAGTATGCGTTGTTGTGGAGCATCGGTGGGTTAAAGCATATATTGTACAAGCAAAATCCAATCTGATTTTCCACTTATAAATAAACGTATGTTCCGTCCATTGGATTTTGGCTTCCACACTAATATTTATCGAGCAGCGTTTGTTTAAGCAAGCAAACTCTGGACAGGTTTCAACCTTCTGGGCCTCATCAGCAGTCAGATATTTCTTGTCACAGTGTTGCCGGGCACTGTTGTGTGTTTTTCCAAGTGAACAATGACGATACATGATAGTCATAATGAAGACTGTCTTTTTTTCTTTACTAAGACACATTAAGTGCAATAAAAATGCTCTCTGCCATCAATATCTAATTATTTGATAAAATTGTGTTTTTTTTTATTTTTGACTCATGAACAATTTAGGTTCGTAGCACAGATTGGAACTTGGGTGTTTGCTGGGTCATGTATGTTCGTTGAACTTCTTTCGCACTGTACGTAGTGAACCGTGCTCATCATGGTGCTGAGCAAGCTATTTTTACTTGACACGTGCATGAAGACACTTTTGAGTGCAAGGCACTCAGAGTGTGGCTGGCTTTCACTGGACCCTTCGGAGATAATCATTATACTCTCTTACATCTTCTTGGTTCTTTCGGTAAAGTCACGTAGAATGGAAACAATAAATAATAAAAATAAAACATGATGCAATAATTCTCACGACGTTTCGGCCACAACACAAGCAGCCGTCCTCAGGTGAAGACCAGGTCTGTCGGGGAGACAGCGTCTCATTTGTCATCCCACGGTAAAATATCACTTCAGACGCTGTCTCCCCGACAGACCTGGTCTTCACCTGAGGACGGCTGCTTGCGTTGTGGCCGACACGTCGTGAGAATTATTTTATTATGTTTTATTTTTATTATTTTATTGTTTCCATTCTACGTGACTTTACCGAAAGAACCAAGAAGATGAATCCCTGCAGTCACGAAAGCTTTAAATCGAAACTCTCTTACATGTTATACAATAACGGCCACACAAGTGACCTAGCATCTTGCAGGCGGCAAAGAACACGTTGGTAAACAAATGGCCGACAATGTCATCAATATTCCGTGTTAGTCATGTACACAATCGCAAGACGCATTTGGGCTGGGAGTAATCTCTCCTTCAGTTCCGCGCCAAGCTGAATTTCCTGCATCATCTTTTCGTCTAAACAATGATGAGCGTTCAAGCATGGCATGCCCCCTTAATACATGGTCTAGTAGTATTAGTGCAGAATAAATTACATGGGGTGGAGAGGCGGTGCAGTGGTTAGTCTGCCGTACTATGAACCTTCTCCACGTCTACATCAACCCGCACTGACCAGTATGGTGAAGTATGGTTAAAAACCCGCATAACCAACATGGCATAGGGAGGCCTTCATCCAGCAGTGAATTGACAGAGCGTTGTGAATTACGAATTTTAAATCCTTTTCTCCAGTGTCTCATTTGTCAACCCATGGTAAAATATCAACGAATTGTTCAGCATCCTTTAATGCAAAATAAATAGCTGTACTAGCTAACATGCATATTTTCGGTGTTTATTAAGTTTTTTTTAGATAAAGTCTTGCCGGTGTGAACAATGCAAAACATGCAGCATTATATCATAACATGTTAAAAAAAGTGGAATTGTTTGTGTGTTGCGTTGATTGTATTGCCATTATTTGACTAAACGCTAATGACGAATGGAGGTCGTCTTGTGCCTCACTCTTAAGTTGTAATCGTTATCGGTTGCTTCCTCCTTCTCACGCCAGCTCTTAGCTATGCTTTGTTAACATCCAACACTGCGTTGATTTGCAGCTTTCGTGACCTGCAGGAATCCATACTCTTTGGTTCTTTCGGTAAAGTCACGTAGTTAGAAATGAAATCAAATAAAACAAATCTAACTACGTGACTTTACCGAAAGAACCAAATAGTACCTAGCACTGTATTAAATTAAATCATCTATGCTTTAACAAATTAACATGTGTAAAAAACTATTTGAATCACATACATTGTACCTTCGTAATCAGTATTAAATGTGCACGTCTGACTCTTTAATTTGAAACAAACGTCAATTAGAGTTGTGCACGCATACCACCATCCAATATTTGCAATCAACGAATTTAAGCATTTTAGCAAATTTCGATCGTCTGGAAAGTCTTCGTTTAAGTCAAATACCAAACTCTCCTGTTACAAGAAGCACTTGTTTCCAACAGCATTTCAAATCAAACGTTGAGGGCAGAGGTGTGGACTCGAGTCATGTGACTTGGACTCGAGTCAGACTCGAGTCATGAATTTGATGACTTCAGACTCGACTTGGACTTGCATACAATGACTTTGTCCCACCTCTGAGGTGTGGACTCGAGTCATGTGACTTGGACTCGAGTCAGACTCGAGTCATGAATTTGATGACTTCAGACTCGACTTGGACTTGCATAACAATGACTTTGTCCCACCTCTGGTTGAGGGTGCATCTTATAATCTGGTAGACGTGTGTGTGTGTGCGTGTTACCAGATTTGCATAATTGTATTGATGCCAACCAGAAGTTTGAGGTGCATCTTACTTTACAATCCGGGGAACGCGATAAAGCTTGTTCAGTCCAAAGTCAACTTCGATGGCTGCTTCTATTTAAAGCAAGAGATAAACTCATATATGCTTTCCAGTTTAAGACACATTCCAATAATGTGGCCAATACATGAATTCACCTGCTTTTCTCATTAAACTGTTTTTCGTTTATGTAAATGACTTGATTTTAGGATGGAGTAGCACAAATAAAAGTTATTTTGCAAATGACAGGCACTCACAAAGCTGAGCTGGTTCATACAATGCAATAATAAGGATTGTAATGTTCTTTTGATTGTGGTGCTATGATGTAATACGTACTTGTGATCCAATAAATATGTATCACCCAAATGACCAGCGAATGCGTTTATCTAAAAAAAGTAGCGCCGATTTCACAGCACTGATTGGGCTGTGCTTTAAGCATTAAAAGTGTCAAATGTATTATAGTGAACTACAGGTGAGTGCGGTGTTTCTACGTTAAGCGTGCCACGCTGAAGATCGTGCATTCTGCATCTGATTTAATGTAAAAGTGTCCAATAAATCTTGGACAGCACAAGTGTCAGAGTCACATGGAAAGCGAGAATGCTTCATTTGTAGCACTGTTGCTCTTCGCTGTCCTTCAGTCGATGAACTTGCAAATGTGGTATTTTTTTGACAATATTAGCATTGGTCACTGAATTTAAAGGACTTGATCTGCGGAGTATATTTTCGCAAATAAGGTGCTATTGAATGGGATATTGAAAATGTCTTGAAAAGCCTCATTTGACATTCGGGTCTTTTGGTATGTAAGAACAAGACAGCATTTCTTTAAGATATTCATTTTTTTAAGTAAAATAAATGTTCATCTTTCTATGAATGTAATCAACAAGGACCTCAATGCGTTGGAATTCCAAGCCTTTCGTTTTGAATAAACGACAATTGCCATTAATTTTTTTACATCGTTTTAAAATATATATTAAGACATGTATTGCTTAGGTGCCGTCCATAAATGACGTCACGCACCTAGGGAGGGGGGTCAGACATTTGTGACGATGTGTGACGAGGGGAGGGGGGGTTGAGAGATGTGACGTCACATCAAAATGTGCAACTTTAAATAAATATAGACAACACGTTCTACTTTATTAAATAGACTTCTTAATAAATGTTTTCTCCTACAACATCAGAGTGCAGCGCCACATTAAATACGCACTACAATGACAATAGTTTAAAGTGATTTGAAGCATGTTTTATTTTGGGGGAGGGGGGGCTGAGCTTTGTGACGTCCAAAATCGCGTGACGTCATTTATGGACGGCCCCTTAGTGGCACTTCAGATTGTATTTTACAGGAACTAAAGCAGCAATTCACCAAAATGATGCGTTGAGCATTCACCGAAGCAGCCGTCAAGGATAATTTCTGATGCACGGCTCTCCGCCCTTATGAATACCAATTTTAAGGATCGTTAAAGCGCATCATGTCAACACTGAGACTAATTGCTCCACGAGAAGGTGTGATTCATCACAGGCTACATGCCCAGCAGATTTGTTGTCTAGAACTCGACGGTGCTGTTAGAAATCTCGTGGGACCTTGAGAAACACTTCTGGGAATACGAGCATGAGCAAACAGGCAAGTACCGTTAAAACTACTCGAAAAACAAGGACTTGTTTTTTTAATACTTCATGCTGGGCATTGAAAGCAACGCACATATTTGGTACTTAATCTCATGCCCCATAGTGTTCATGTAAATGTGCACATGGATTGGTTATAAGCGCTGTAATGGCACACAGCTGACAAAAGCTTATTTATACCTTGAAAATTACGACTTTCCCCATTATATAAATACGAAGCTTAAAATCAAACTGTTGAACAACAGCATGTCTATTACACAGCTGGATTTGGTCAAGATTATTTTTTTTAAAGAGGAAAAATATTTTTCCAAAATAATTTTATGACACTAAAAGCCCATTATTTTGTATTCAATTTTGGTTGTAAAATCTAAACGATTGCTCTTAACAGTTATCGGGTTCTAGATTTGAAGCTTTCGTGACTGAAATAATTCATACTCTTTGGTTTTTCGGTAAAGTCACGTAGGTAAATTTTTTTTAAAAATGTAAACAACTAAATTCAATCTCGACGTTTCGTCACAGCCATCTCTTAGACACACTTAAGCGGTTGTGCTTTCACTACGTTGTCCCCACCTGAAGAAGGACGCTTGTGTTACGCCCGAAACGTCGTGATCTAATTTAGTTGTTTTCATTAATTTTATTTTTTTGCCTACGTGACTTTACCAATAAAAAAACAAAGAGTATAGCTATCGGGTTGCCACTCGCATGTGAGCTTGAACAGCACTGACTTGTACTAATATCATAATTTAAATTCTGTGCAACTGAATATTTCTGTGAACATGTCCAGTCATTCGTCACGAATGGATATTGGTAAATCACGTGGTATATACAAGTCACGGCACCCATTAGACTTACACATTGCGTCAAGTTTTTTTTTTATAATTATTGCACGTGACATTTTTCATATTAATGCTCTAAATGCATAATCCCCGGCATACAATGCACACAATTGCTTTGCAATGTAGGCCTGCTCATGAACACAGGTCAAATACTTATCTGGGCATTATAGCCTCTGCATAGCCAATGTTATTGTAACGAGAGTAGGGTGGTCATCAAAATGAGTATAGGTTGATCGTAACAAATATTTCGCGGCGGTCGCAAGGAGTGTACAGTGGTGATCGTAGCAAACATGGAGTGGTGATAATTAGCTTAGGTGATGAGTGCAATGAGTATAGGTGATACATTTATAGAAAAAGCCTTCATTCAGCAATGGTTTGCCAAAAGGCTGAGGTTTGTAAAAAAATATATTACTGTTGGTTCAGATACATACAATTATTGCATAAGGTCACGTAGAAGGGAAATAATAAAATAATAAAAATAAAACATAATAATTGTATTGTTTTATTGTTATTCTTATCTTATTATTTTATTATTTCCCTTCTACGTGACTTTACCGAAAGAACCAAGAAGATGAATCACTGCAGTCACGGAAGCTTTAAATCGAAAAATACTGCATAAGGCTTTAACTCTCTGTGGCTTAACAATGTAAGGTTATTGTTTTCCTTTTAAACATAGTCAAAT